GCATGTTAAAGGACAAAGGATAAAGCCCTCGGCGTTGATCAATCTCTGTGGGATGCGCCATGCATTCGACTTTATTAAGGATTGTTTGTGGTGATTAAATGCATATCTGGCTTTTAAAATGACTCGCGGTGGTCTACCGATGTATCGAGCCAGTGCTGCTATCCTCTCAGACAAGTCTGGTACCAATTTGCCGACCTCGGAGAGATGGAAGGCTTGGTGGGCCATGGGCGCGCGGATCGATTCCACGTGTGTCGCAGTGGCGCCTCCAACCACTAACTTCGAACCACGCCCCAGGGCGTGTTACATTGTTAAATTTCGGCAGTTTTTATATTCCCAGGGACATAATATGCTCTTTATGCGATTAATGATAAAAGGACAAAGAGTCTGACGTCAAGATAAAAGGACAAAGCGTCTGATCTCGATCAGTCCCTTAAAGGTAGATACGCCATGCGCTCGACTCCATTAAGCATCATAGACGTGAATGACTGCATTTTGGGCTTTTTTAATGGACTCGTTACATCCTAAGGCTTTATAGAGTCAGTGTTTTTATCCTCATAAACAAGTTCAGCATCAATCTTGTAACCCTGTAGGCATGGCGGGTTTGGCTATCGCAAGGCGCGGGACCTAACCAAACCTTGTATTTACAGGGCACCTCTAACTCTGTACTCTGTGGCCTGTTTTGCTGTAATGCATTATGTGAAAGCAATGTGAATGTAAAAAAGAAGCAATAGAACGAAAAAGGATCTTGTGATCTCATATTGCGAAATACAATACAAAATAGGAACATATAGTAGGGATAGGGACAACGTATTCATACTGTGGCGTATTTTTTTTGTGCGATTTCTCTAGTAGAATATTGCTCTCTTGGCATGGTTTTTTCACTGTAGCTAGGAGCAAGTGTGAAAACGCTCCTAAGTATTGGCCGGCCACTATGGATAGGAGGGAAGTTTGCCACCATAGGTTTGGTTCTCATCGAGAACGATGGCGGATCCTGGCACTGCTGTACTCCTAGTGAGCTGCCTTAGGAAATGTTCTGAAAAATCAGCAACACATCGAGTGGCAAATGTCCTTAATCTCAAACATTTTTCCATGAGGGCAGGTGTTCAAGTATTCGAGTGCTCAAGTTAGGACCTTGAAATTTACATTGCAAATTTCAGTGCTTTCCTCATCTTTAAGTGTACTAGAGATCGTACATGGTTGTGAGAAGGAGGAAAAGCATGCAAGCAAAGTACATCCAATAGGTAATGTTATTTAATATAACACATCATTTGTTGTAATGGCGCATGTGGCGCAGTGGTTGGAGGCGCCACTGCGGCACATACGTGGAATCGATCCCCGCGCCAATAGCCCATTAAGCCTTCCATCTCTCCGGGCTCGGTGAAATGGTACCAGACTTGTCTGGGAGGATAGCAGCACTGACTATATACATCGGTAGGCCACCGCCAGCCATTGTAAAGTCCAGATATGCATTTAATTACCTCCAACGATAGTTAATGAAGTAGAATGCATGTCACATCCCTCAGGGATTGATCAATACCGAGAGCTTTATCTTTTGATCATTTGTCGTCCTTGAAAACTGGTAGTTTGGACGTCTTTGCTATTATGGATTCCCAGTATTGCGTTGTAGGTTTTCTACCTAACTACCTCTCTTTCTCTTTCTCTCTCTCTCTCTCTATATATATATATATACATATATATATATATATATATGTATATATCTCCCTATATCTTTCTTCTTCTCTGTTCGTTTTTTCCTTCCCCTTTCTCGTTCCTTCTACCTTTTTCTGCCACTTTTTCCCTGTTCCTCGCTCTCTCCTTCTTTCTCTGCCTCTTTTGAGTTTTCACTTCGTCCAATGAAAGCTTAGTAGTTATTTTTCTTTCATTTGGAAAATAGCTTTCTCACCGCATCTTAGCAGGCGACTAAGAAACCTGAATTTCTAGAGCAGTCATTGATTTTTTTACTGACGTGGTTCAATTGAATTTACATATTCCATTCACGTGCGGTTTCATTCAGCGGTAGTTTTTTTCTAAGCGATGGAGCTGGAACATTAAAGTAATGGTATATTGTTTAGCCTTCAGTAAGAAATTTGTTATAGTCAACTTTTAAACACGCTTTAACCGTCTTTCCTCCCAACGGTTTACCGCCTCCTCGTGCCTGGGCGGTGTTCCTGGGTGACAGACTGAGTTGTACAGCAGGAGGTTCAACCCCTAGCAGGGTCTCCCAAGCTGAGAAGGAGTCCGGCGTTTCCATTAGGAAGCCTAGCTGAGAGTAAATCAATACCAGGGTTCACCACCGTCCTGGTATCAAACTAGTTGCATAGTGACAAATCTCTCTCTGATCCACAAACGCTGCGGCTGCCTGTGGTGGTGAAGACCTGGCTCAGACTTTGGCCAAGCTGAGTTCGGGCTTCCAGGGAACCATAATGGCTTAACCAGCAAATCTCCGGAGAAGGAAGATTATGCTGTGGCCCGCACAACAAATGACGGATCATTCAAGTATCAAGTAAGTATAACCGTCTTTCTGTTTAATTGCTGCTACTGTCTATCCAGAATAATTACTTAGTTGATATATTTATTCACCTGATCATATAAATTGATCTTATTTAGCTGATGCGAGGTTGGTATAGGTCTTCGTTGTTGTTGTTGTTGTTGCTGCTGTTGAACTCGTTGGTTGCTGGCTGATGTTTCGGCGATTTCGCCTTCTTCAGAGCCTGGACGTATTTTATATAAGAATACTTTAATTATTCGGTGGAAAAATAGGCCAAAGTATTAATGAAGATCGAGCTTTTAAATAGACGCCATATTGAACAGAAAGGCTTCTCACCGTGATGTTACGAGTGGGACTGGACAACGCGTTGTTCACGTGGGATCGCGAGCGAGGCACACCCAGGGATCAAAATATCATTTTGAAATAGGGCGCCAGGTTACGTGTGATAGTGAGGCATTCGTCTTTCCGGTTCAACTTTGGATTTCTGAAATTTATCTAAAACGCCTGAAGAGTTTTATGCGTTGATGTTTTCGATTTCTGCGCTAAGATCCGCACAGTCACTTCAGAATCATTGCCATTGTGCTTTTGTGCCCTATCCGTACCCAGAGGAGTGTTTTGACGGATTTTAACTTTCCTATACAACTTTCTGGAAGTGATTTTCATGTTCATGACTCACCTTCTAGACATCTTCACTATGTTTTGAAAAAGTTCCTCACATCTTTTACGCGGTTTGTTCTTCGAAGAAGTGCAGTTTTTTTAACCAAATCAATGGAGTGGCAAGTTTCTCCGTGTTTGTTTGTATTCCATTTGAGAGGCTGTTTTTATTGAGAACAATTGACTATCATCCTGCCGAACGTGTTGTTAGGAAAGTAGACTTTCTTTTTCGCTTTTTCTTTTTCTCGTTCTTCCCTCAACAGTGCGGTAATTTTACCTGTATAATAAGTGTAAACCGATGATTGTGTAGACGGTAGGAAAATGGCGAAGGGAAAAAACGCAGTATGAACAAATCTACTTTAATATGGCCATTGACGGTTTTATAATTTTTCTACCCAATTTTTGGTCTATCTTTAATCGCAATAAACAGAGCACAGGATAAATCATTCGGCGTTGGTCAATGCCCTTAGGAATGCGTTATGCTATGACCACGGATATATGAAGTTAGTGTTTTTATCCTCTAGAAATATCCTTTACAGTTACTAAGGTTTCGACGGATTTGATCTGTTCAGAAGAAGGGAAAGGTCATTCTTATGTACGGCTTATTCGATGAACTGTGACCCTTTGTGTACAGTGAAGATGTGAACGTAAACTTTGATCCAACGATTTTTCGAGATGCTCTAAGAATAGAGATTGTTCTCATCATAAGTTCCCTTATTGCTGAGTACAATGAAAAATCACACTAAGCATGGGAATTGATATAAACGACGTTTCGACCAAGAGAAGGACGTATGATAAAACATAATGGAGCTGTCTAGTGAAATTCAGGGGAAGAAAGATTATACTGTTTTGAAAGAAAAACAATATTTTAACCCCCAGAAGAGTTTTTTTTAAGCAACCAACGATCAAATGATCAGATCACTGTAAGTAAATTTTCAGTCGCAATTAGCAATCTGGGCGCCGCTCACTTGTGTAATGCCTCGATTCGATCCAGCACTGGACCAAACCAAGCCTCAAATTCTTCCGAGATTGAGAGACCGTTACCGGCTTTGTCTGTGATGGGTTCCTCTTCTCGATTGACAATGAATATTTACTGTGATGATATGAGAACGGTTCAGTAAAGCTATCCCAGGATTCTAAGGAGAATAAACTTATCTAGCATTCAACGACATTTATATGGAGTGGCAAACTCCAGGCAGCAGCCGTATCACCCGTAGCATCCGTTCAGCATCCCAGTCTGCCGTATCTGCACGAGCATCCGAAGATTTCCAAATGTGTTGAATAGAATATTGATTGAGCTGGTTCTTCTTATAAACGCTATTTTACAAAAGCCTCTTTATGTTTTCTGCACAAGAAGTTGCCCAGCCTTATGGACAGAAAGCACTTTTTTGTATAGGCTTGGTAACACTTTCCCAAGTTAGAAATAAGAGACTTGATTAGTTTGGGCGTGGTCGAGCCAATAATGATCATGTATTGTGCCTCATCTCTGGCCACTGATCTCCACGTGTTCCTAAATGATTGCTGGTCAATCTACTTCGCTGTCTTAAGGTCACTTACGAATTTGCATGCTCTGCCTGCTGCAACACTTACCCGTGTTTATTTAGTTCGAAACGTTTCTGCCTGAATGCTGAGAGAAACGTTTACTTTTCTTTCATCTATCCTGTTACGTTTACGAATGCTGATATATCCCTTGAATGGGAGTGGTTAAGGGTGGAGCTTCACCACTATTTGCAATTTTATTGCTATTTTTAGTTACTATTGCGATTATCCATAACCTTTTTGTGTTTTCGATATGTTCACCGCCCAGTTCTTGTTGTGCTGAGCGCTCTGTTCGTTTTCTGAGTCGCTTTGTTTTAGTTCTATAAGTGGGCATGATCATTACGGTCGCTCTAGCGGCCTTGATACCGCTCTTAACGCTGGGCGAAGAGTCCAGTACAGAACTCTTCAAGGAAGATGCACAGTCGATGAACGATCTGATGGTTTCCAGTCGGTCCAAACTCACAAGTACTACTGAAAACCCTCAGAAGAATTAGTAAGCTTTTCTTACAAGTATACACATTATTTATTGTTAGAAATGATCTTTGCTGTTTCAATGAAGAAAACATTTCACTATAGGATATTCTCCTATGTTTTTCGTATTGGTGTTGCCAAATGCTCTTTTCAAACAGACGTTCAAACGGTCTGCTTGAACGCCGGAAGCCCATCAGCTCACCAAAAGATTGGCATGTAAAAAGACTAGATGCCATTAAAAGGACGACAAGGAACATTTACTATTTTTTTAACCGTTTTCTCTTCCCAGACGTGATGTTCACAAATAAGTGACATTTGTGTCTGTGAGGCAGCAGGTTTCTCGATGAGTCATAAAATTGTTCTGTTCGGCGATGGTTGCTTGAACAAACGAAGAGCACCACGCGATTTTTATAATGCCTAATTCGCTGTCAAAACAGAAGAAAAAAGGTTACTTTCAGTCCGGGAACATATTTGGTTGTCGCACCAAGAGTCGTGCGACCAGGGCTACCATACGCGGTCTCATTTAATATTCTGAAAAGCCCAGAAGAGGACCATATCGTACGAGTTCAGATTCGAACCGATCAAAACGATACCGTAGCTACAAGAGTGGTGAAGAATGTCCGACAAGGTTGGTGGAGATTTCTGGAAATGAGCTCTTGATTTTAAAAAGATTGTTGTTTTTACGACTTATTTGTTAAAACTACTGTTCTTGTGAGTTTTCTTCGCTTCAATCACTCGAAATTATTCGCTTTTGTTTTAGACCACATGTAATAACTGCGTTGTTTCTATTTATGAACTGTAAAATGCCGGAGATTTCTAACGCGTATGAGCGCTAATAAGGGGTATGTATCGCAGTGGTTGGGAGTGCACTGCAATATACATGGGACACAGCGCGACAAGGTCACCAAGCCTTCCATCCCTCCGGGGTCTGAAAATTGGTACCGGATTTGTCTGCGAGGACAGCAGCTCGATACATCGATTGACCACCGCTAGTCATTGTAAAGACCAGATATGCATTCAATCACCTCCAGCGATGCTTAATGAAATCGAATGCATAGCACATTCCTCAGAGATTGATCAACGCCGGAGCTTTATCCTTCATTTTTTACAAACGCTTACGTGGCTATGTAGCGTTGCGATAAGCCATACCGTGACCAGGCAAAGAATGCCTTCAACTATTCCGGGGTCGACGAACAGGTACCAGAATGTGTTGGAAGGATACAAACGCTAAATAATCCAGTGTTAGGTCACAGCAAAACCTTGTATTAACCAAATATACATTTAATCACGCTTGATATGAATGCATAGCCCATCTCTCGTGGATTGTTCAACGCTAAACGCCCAACCTTTTGCACTTTCTCTTCCCATCAATCCTTTTTTAGCGTCTATAGGAAAAAAGTCTATGAGAACTTAACTTTTCCTTTTGTGTTCTCATTCCAGCCGTCCAACATGGGTGTTAGAGCAACTTAGCGCTCAATATTTCTAATGGGCAACTTTGACTTTTATAGTTTTTAACCCACTATCTCTAAATTTTGAGCAGAACCCATTTGAGTAACGATAGAAATTGTTAATCTGAGTTTTCAGGAATACCGCAAACAGTAACAATCGATACCGTATCTGCCGATCTCTCACCGAACATGAATTATAAGGTAGGTACTATAGAATAACAAGGCATTCCTGCAAAGACCATTGCTACCAGTAGAAATCCTATCACTAATTTCTTAGCGCTACACTTTGCCGCAGAGTTAGTGTTCAAAGAGCTGAGAATTGACTACCGTTATAGGTAAAAAAACAGCAGTCGTGTTCATCTTCGTATTGTATTACACCGTGGTTTTCTAGGTTTGTCTAGCGCCACAGCGTTTCTAATGCGGTTTCAACTTGATCTCATTCAGGTTTACGTTCGTGGTGAAACTCTGAACTCGCAAGTTTTATTCGAAAACGAGAAGTCTGTCGAATTTAATGAGAAGAGCCTTTCGATTTTCGTACAAACCGACAAAGCCATTTACAAGCCTGGATCCATTGGTGGGTGGTAAGAATATCCACGAAAACCGAAATCGTTTTCGTAAACTTGCTAAACTGTTCGCTTAACAGTCACACCGAATACCTAGTGCTCCAAATGTCATCGCACCTATTGTGCCCATGTAGACACTGCTATTGCTGCACATAAGCACCATATTGACTATAACAAGTCAAAAAAGTGCAAAATTTTTTTCGAAACCAGGTCTTTACGAAGCAACCAGTTGGTGATTTACTGAAGCGAATGTTTTTTCAGTGAAATATCGAGTTGTTGTGGTGTCACCGACACTCACCCCGTATAAGGATACTGTCACTGTGAAGGTCTATGATCCAAATCAGAACGTGATCAGTCAATACGTCGATAAGGCGCTCACTAAAGGTTCGTCGTATAAAATACGTTCAACGAATAACACAGTTACACGCCAGTCGCCTTTATTTGTGAAACTCCGTTTTAAAATCCTACTCAATATTGTTCGGTTTAATTAGCTATTTTTTGCCCATTTTCCCATAATAGCGGAAGAAGTTCTAACGGATTGATGGTTGCAAAATGTTTATTAACAATACTTGTTGGAAGTATTGCCACTGAATATGTATTGACCTGTTATCTCTCTTATCACAAAGAGCATCATCCTTCCCACATAGAGTTCATTATTCGTAGTTTTCGGCGAGAGCTAAAGGTAACATCGTGGGTTTTGTTATGGTGGTTGAGATTTAGCAGAATTACGTTGGATTCTGGCAAAGCAGATAAAAGAATAAGGGGTGGAGCACACGCGGTTGGCCAATCCCTAAGGGATGTGCTATCTGTTCGACTCCATTAAGCATTCTATAGGTAACCGAATTAGTATCTGGCCTATATAATAACTTGTGAGGTCTCAGCTATGTATCGTATCAGTATTTTACCTTCTCAAACAACTGTAGCAATGGTTCTCCGATCCTGGAATATGGAGAACTTGGTTTTCTGGGACGATCGAGCTATCTACTTCGTATCTATACTAGGCACCTCCAGCCACTGTGTTACTTACATGAAACGTATCCGTGGGATTACCCTAGTGTGTCTGACTATGTTGATCTTCGCTTTTGGTTTGTCTTTCACTCTGCTTTTGCTCCACTTGGGCGCGCCACCTACTTTAGCTAGCAACGAGGTCGAGATCCGTCTCGAGAAGGTGTTGCAATACTTGCGAAGTGGACTGTGCAGGGTTTTAAACACAAAGTTTTACCAAACACTTACTATGAAACGTTGATTTCTTGCTTTTTTAGAAGTCAGAAGTACATGAAACGTTTTACTGGTATTGCTACGGATAACAGTAGTCTAGATAGATATAAATAGTAAAAGGGCGTTTGTGGCGCAGTGGTTGGAGGCGCCACCGCGACACACACGTGGAATCGATCTCTGCGACCATGGCCCAGCAAGCCTTCCATCTTTCCGGTGTCGGCAAATTAGTACCAGACTTGTCTGGAAGGTTAGGAGCACTGGCTCGATACATCGGTAGGCCACCGCGAGTCATTGTGAAGGCTAGATATGCATTCAGCCACTTCCAACGGTAATTAATGAAGTCGAATGCATGACGCACCTCTCAGGGATTGATCAACGCCAAGAGCTTTATCCCTTATCCCTTATTTTTAACAGTAGTCTTACTTAGGTGGCTTTAGAATTCCCACAGTATGTTGATTTACACTAAATGAAAACATATGTGAAATAATCTGAAACGGTTCTAGTGTTCTGTGGATTTTTTATGTAAAGAATTGGAAGCGGAACGTGAAATGCTGAATGAATGACATTTAAAAAAAGTCTCGGGCAAAAAGCGACTGATGGAGGACAGCCAGTTTGAACGCATAGGCACAGCGAAACGCGCAAAGCTAGCGACAATGAGAAAAAATACGAGTTGGCTTTGCTAGCGAAGTGACTCAAACGATTCACAGTTACACGACTCTCAATATACTGATCACACTAGGTGATTAAGTTTTAAAGAAAACGTGACATGTAGTTTAGCCCCCATATCACCACCCCTGGTGAACGATACCCTTTCTCTTCGTGCTGGTAGGCCTAATGCTTTTCGCAAAATGAAAATAAGCTGACTGTTTAATATCTTAATGCAATTGTTTCTAATTTAGCGCAGAAACGTTGAAAAAGTTTTTTTTAGATGCTTAGTTGGAGTGTAATTATATATCATGAGTGTGTCATCGCATAACATCTACAATTCGTTGCACTCGTACCGTCTCTGGATGTGATAAGCCTCTTACGCAGATTTATCTACGCCATGAGTATCTGCCATCGTCTTTCGACACCAAAATGCTGAAACCCTAAGATAGCCGTACAGGAGTGTTCCCACGTCTTCAGCACACGCAGTCACAAGCCGTTACAGATCAATAGAAGACGTTATAACAGGCCAGATAAAGAGATGTCATGTGAACAGTTGGATGTACATAGCAAAGGTTCTACAAATACATAGAAATCGCTTTCAAAGACACTTTGCTTCCGATAGGACAAAACCAGTTTCCATTCCTTTACTCGACCAGTTTTATGGCCTTTGTTGAGGCAGTGAAAAGAGTTTTTTTATTTTTTTATTTTTTTAATAAGGCTAGCCTTTTCACACCTACTGTGCGAATCTCACCACATTCCATTTTTCGCATCATCAACGATGTTCGCCCAATTTTTCATGTCTGACTTCGGCTGCTGCTTGAGGATTTTCATTTCACTTTGAATGTCGTAGGATGCTGGTTGAGTCCGTTTTTCCTGGAATCTTGGAGAAGCCGGCTAGATTCCCACATGGATTAAAAAGAGCGATTTTTTTTCTCAGATAAGTCTAGCAGTAATTCGTCTTTGGAGGGATGAGAGGCTTGGCGAGCGCGGAGCATGATGGAGCTAGCACCGTGCTCGTGAGGATCGGTACTAGGACCACTGTGCTATGAGCCTCCTATGGAAAACTGGTATAGTATATATCCAGAGTACTATAGAGGAAAATGTTTTTCTAAATAAATAAATACTAAATGTTTTTCAATGGTGCTATTTTGGCTTACTCTCACTTGAACGTCTACAATTATTGACTACTATTCATGAGGAGGGAAGGGGCGCGTGTGGCGCAGTGGCTGGAGACACCACTGCGACAAACATATGAAATCGATCCCCGCGCCCATGACCCACCAAGCCTTCCACCCCTCCGAGGTCGTCAAATTGGTACCGGACTTGTCTGGGAGGATAGCACCACTGGCTCGATACATCGGCAGGCCACCGTGAGTCATTCTAAAGACCAGATATGCATTCAGTCACCTCCAATGATGCTTAATGAAGTCGAATGCATGACGCATCCCTCAGGGTTTAATCAACGCCGAGAGCTTTACCCTTTTTTATCCTTTTATTCATGAAGATCATTCTCTTCTAAAATGGTTTAAAAGGCATACGGAAGGGCGATCGAGCAATGAGTCTTGTTTTGAGAGCTACATTTGCATAATTAATTCTGTTGAAAAAAATGTTTACAGTTGAAGACTATGATTTATCTGAGTTTTTCCATTTAGGGGTGTTTTCATCTGAACTCGAATTAGCTTCGGAACCACCGCTTGGTGAATGGCAACTGAAAGTAGAGACAGCGAATAAATTGAAATATACAAGAACTTTCTCCGTCGAAAAGGTAATGAATTTAGGGTACGGTTGCTGGATGCTTTACAATGCTCAGGAAAGGATTCATACTGCTCATATATTCTTGCCGTAGTTGGCAGGTCGCTAGGATGACCAACGCTGTTTTCCGTCTTCGACGATTTTACGACGATAATGATTTTTCAATAAATCCCGACAACTTTTTGATAACTGAAAAATATGGGGACTTGGGAAACTCACAAACTCTGCTCTAGTCGTTCTAAGGCCATTTGCAGTTCCTCCAAATTGGTCATTATTTTAAATTTCTTAAGCTGCAATCTAAAAAAAAGTACGAATACAATAAAAAGACAACTGCTGGCATCGATATCGCAGGTGCGGGAGATCGGACAGCATCGTGACTCTCCGGATGAAATTTTACTTGTCCAGTAGTTTTGTAGCTCGAAGGGACAAAATGCGAAAGGTGTCGCTCAGGCGGCGCACGAGAAGATCAGAATTTCGGCCTAGTAGAATAAGGAGATCCTAAATTTTCACTGAAGGATTTTCTTTTTGAATTTTAAGGGTTTTAATTTGAATCCAACCGGTGTTTTAAAAGCTGAAATATGTCTTCCTAAACTAGGAAGTTTCGTTTTTCAGCTAATTATGCATTGAAATCAATGCAGATCGCCGCCAGTGTGTTAGTTATCATATAATTCATCCTTATTCATTTAAACTAGAAATGATTAAGGAATAGGCTTTTGGTTGTTTTAAAGTGAATTTTTAGTAGATTTTTCACTAATTAAGCTTCAGGCACATTATGTTCGTTTTGATTTCTTGCATTCAAAAGCCAGAAGCTGCCGTAACAGTCTTTTTCCAGTACGTTCTACCAAAGTTCGATGTAAACATAAAAACTCCTTCGTTTATTACTGTTAACGACGACCTATCGTTACTTGTGGATGCCAAGTAATCGTATTTTTCCTTCTTCTTTCTCCATTTCATCATTCTGTGAATTTCTGTCGGGAAACTCAGGTACACCTACGGAAAAGGAGTTTCTGGCAAGGCGAAAGTCACTCTACAACTGCCTTGGCACAGATGGAATCCGATTCCGAAGCCTATTATTGTGAACGAAGACGGAACCACATCACAGGTAAGCAACTGATTAACTTCAAAATCCAGTCGTACTGTAGTCCATCTGTAGAAAAGGTTAGTTTTCTTTCTTTGCTGGCCAAGGTCATTTCCAGTTGTTTCATCATGGAAAGCTGAAATGTTTGATTTTCTCACAGATTCAATCCGATCTTGAGGTTATGTATATGGAAATGAACCCTTTTGGCATTGTGGTCATCGTTCACTTTTTGCATTCAAGGATATTTTCCTGGAATTTTCACTTTCGTCTGTTTAAGCTGAAAGGTGTCTGGAGATCCTCTTTTAATCACCTAACATTTGTTTCTCGATTTATCGAGGAAAACACGCTATTATAGAATAGATATAGTGAGACTTAGTGCTGAATTCAACTAAATGAATTCACAATCACAGTGATGCTGAGATATTTGGAAAACTCCAGACCGCAGGTGTCTGTTGCGCGTGTCCCTCAGCTAGTTCTGTCGCGTTCGTCCCTTACCGCAGACACCTGTGGTCCGGAGTTTTGTAAATATCTCAGCATCATTGCGGTTGTATCGCACATAATACCCTGCCGTGAGAAATTGTAATGGGAAGTAAATAAAAAGTTAACTCCCAAGACCGACTTTCTGTTAACCTCGGCATTAATTGATAATTCAATGTTTTTCATCAATAAACAGACACGAGGTTGTTAATACAGAATTCACTAGAACACAATCTCCGACGTCTCGGCGGCTTCGCCCTCCTCAGAGCTATTCTCTTCCAAAGGGATTCTTCCAAATACTGGACACAATAAGATTCCTTCGACTTGCATTTCTTCAATTGCGCGTACATGGTGTTCTGCTTGGACCGAAGAGAGGCACGTAGTAGTCGCGTTTCGATGTCCAGTGCTAGTTGGCTGTCCCTTGGTAGGCCGCACACATCGTGTAGTCGTTTTCGTTTTTTTCGTTTCGTTAGAAAGTTAACATTGTGATTTCGACTACAGCCTCAGCCTTGTCAATTCATAATGTTTACATTTTTATTTACTGCCTCCTACAATTTTCACGGCAGGATAATATGGGAAATAAGCCACAACGATGTTGAAATATTCGCAAAACTAAAGCGCAAAACAAAACGCGAACGCAACGTAGAACAAAGCAAGGGCCTCCGTGGCGCGGTGTGTAATGCGCGTGGTCCCGGAAAGGGAAATCGTGTTTCGATCAGGTCCGTCGTCTAAGTTTTGTTAATATCTCAGCATCGTTTTGAATTGTTTTAAATCGATTCAATTGAATCAAATTACTGAATACATGTAGGGAAAAGTATTGTCGTAATTGCTCTACAATGCCTTAAATATAGTGGAATAGATTAACTTCTTAGCAGGGTTACAGTATCGAGCTTGAGTGTGTTCAGTGATGCTTGGAGGGTTTTGATCCAAAGTGCTTATCAAAATTATTAATTTACTAGTTTATGTAGGTTTGATGTTTTATTTGGCTTTATTATTTCATCCACTATTTCATAGTTTTTATTTTCTATTCTCTATTATGATACAACACGTGGTTCTAATTTCCTTGTTAATAAAATTCATTTCTTAACCCTTTTATTTACTGCCTTTTTTTTTAATGGCAGAGTATGTTGCGAAATATAACTCGTATATAATGCTGAGATATTTGCAAAACTCCGTACCGCAGGTGTATGCGGCGGAGAACGAACGCGCTATTGTCCTTTCCGGGGGCTAACACGTTCACCTCCACACCAAGCGGGGCTTTCGTTTCGTTTTGCAAATATCTCATAATTCATTTCATTGAATTCTAAGAGTAGCCGAAGTTCTGTGACAACGTACTCCTACCGTGAGCCTTCAGAATTTCAGAAGATATTTCTCATGGTCAACACATGCTTTAGAACGACTGGTTATCAAATTCAAAGAAATATAACCGTACTTTTTCTTGTGCCCAATAAAGTTTATTTCATTCAGCTGACTGTTTTAGGTAGACGAAGATTCACAAATCGAACGTACAGTGAAACTCAACAATTTGGGTGAAGCAACGGTTGTCTTCACGAATGAGGAAATGAAGAAACATAGGCTCGTACAGGTCCGCTTTTCGCTTACGACTGCTGTTTCAAAACTGGTTGTATACATATGTCCTTTCACTAGTCTGTCTACTTTTTCAGAAATATATTTTTACTACGTAGTCAGTTTTGTTTACTACCTATTTTTTTCATGACAAGGTATGAAATGAAATATAACTACAATGATGATGAGATAATTGCAAAGCTCTGGACCGCAGGTGTCTGCAGTGAGGATCAAACTCGCCATTACTCTTTCCGAGGGCTAACGCGTTCACCACCACACCATGCGGGTTCTTCCTCTCGCCTGTCTTTCAGCCATGTTTTGACCTCTAGTTGGTGTCAGCAATCACAAAAATCAGCAATTGATCTGGGATGTAAAAGTAGGCATTGAACCCAATTAAGCTAGAGCCGACGAAGTGATTTATACTACAGTGAGACTAGTCAGGCTATAAAAGCGACCAAGCAAATGACAATTTGCAGTTTTATTTCAGGAAAAAACTTTAAATGATGAAACTTCACGCGAAAGGTTATCACTGTTTGAATGAGCTGTGGCAAAAATAATTCAGTGACACCTCAGTAACTGAGAAGCAAGGTTCCATCGTGCACAAACATTTTTGGCACTTTGGCTTCCATATGATCATAAAAGTAGTGAAGTTGCGTAAAAGAGAGAAGAGTAAAAGAGACAAAAGAGAAGAAGACAACAATAATGCGCAAACGGTAAAGGGTTCGGGATTCATTCTGCGCTTAGTAGACCTTCCAATAGACTAGTCATCCAGCAATGTTGAGCAGCCGACATTTGTCCTCGTTGTGTAGCGGATTACTGCAAGGAAACGAAAAGCATTACATTCTCCTTGCGATGCTCTCTCTTATCTGGTGAAAAAATGGAGTTTGGAAAAGCATGACCTGGACTTTAGCGTGGTATAGGCTTACTGTTAGTTGTGGTTCAGAATAGAAATGTCGAGCTTTTCAGCTTAGGAGACCTTCCTGGGAGATCAGCGCTCACTGTATATCGCGTTTAGACAATCAGGAATACCGACGGGCATGATTAGGCGAGGACTCTTGAATACTGTTTTGTTCTCATCATGACTTTACGTTGAAGCATGCTTCTTAGAATGTTTTGGTTGATGCAGTTTTCATGCCTGTAGAAATTCGACTGGATCCTCAGTAGGGTTGCTGTACAAGGCTCGCGTTTAGCTCGACCGTACTTGGCAATAAGTGAGAAGTTCTTATTTATCAAATGAGTGAAGTGATTAGAAGCTAGAAAAGCAATAAGAATTCAAGAAAACTGCAAGCGATTGAGCTTTATAAACTGGCATCGCTCTTTGCCATACTTAACAGAAAACAGTTTTTCCAGGACTACGGTGGTGGCAGTATTCGAATCATTGCTACTGTGACTGAAGACTTGACTGATATACAACGTAATGGAACCCAGCACGTAAGATTCTAGGCACACCTTGTTCATTTACCAGAAATGCGTAAACTAAATGACCGTATCGAGAAGTCTGGCTTGCCTGGTTCCTTAAATCAAAAATTGAAGGAGGAAATTTTTGATTGTGCACGGTTTTTCTTCTGATTCCTTCTTAGATGTGATTTTCGTGGACCACATGCACTTTTTACAAGAGAAAAAAAGACGTTTAGATAACAATCTTGTTGTAGAATCATTCTTTGTTTAGCCGAATACGTAACGCTTTAGATTTCAACTTATCGCTATGATGTGAAATTGGATGTGGAGAAACAAGGTGACACCTTCAAACCGGGCCTTACCTATAATGTGGTGGTAACGTTGAAGCAAATGGATGACACACCAGTGAAAGCCAGTGTACCAAGACGAGTCCAGGTACGATGGTGACCAGATTATGCCTTATGAAAAGAAACGCTTCTAACCGTTAGCCATGTTAGAGCCAATTTCAGGCCATGAACAATAATTCCTATATAGACAATAATAATAATTCGACGTAAAAATTGATCGATTAAGTCATTCATTGATTTATTGATCGACTGTTAGTGCGACTAAGTACTTCCTGGATTTGACTTCAAACATTTACTAATCTTGTTTAGCACAGAGTTATGACCGTAGATAAGGCTTTCTTTCACAGGAATGTAGTCAAAAGTATTTGTTGAAAAAAGTTGTATGTTTGCAAGTAACCATAAATGAAAAGTGGAGTTCATTCAACCGAATGAAAGAGTCCTTCAACCGAGTGAAGAAGTCCTTCATTTCCACACAACGGGCGGTAAAAGGATGAAGGATAAAGCTCTCGGCGTTGATCAATCCCTGAGGGATGCGCCATGCATTCGACCTCATTAAGTATCATTGGAGGTGACTGAATGCATATCTGGCCTTTACAATGACTCGTGGTGGCCTACCGATGTATCTAACCAGTGCTGCTTTCTTCCCAAAGAAGTCTGGTACCAATTTGCCGACCCCGGAGAGATGGAAGGCTTAGTGGGCCATGGGCGCGGGGTCGATTCCAATGTGTGTCGCAGTTGCGCCTCCAACTACTGCGCCATACGGGAATACTAGTGCACGTCCTTATATGGAATTAATCTCAGTGCCTTTTGTTTTCGGTGGTTTAATTTGCCTAATGCGGTTTTTTTTGCGCAAATTTTTTATTCATTGGATTTCTCATCGATTGCAAATGTTGTTGAAAGCAATGGCCGAGACCTAACTCCTCGTAATTGTAGAAATCCGTTTTTCGTAGGACTTTGTTATTTGAGTCTTTGTTGTGCAAACTGGGTTTTGATATTTAGGAGCACCTTGTCAGGCTATGACATCAGTTTCCTGTTGTTTCATTTCAGTACTTATAATGAATCATTGTTATTGTATGGAATAAGGGGATATAGAAGATACCAAAATTGGTTTAACGTGAGCGGTAAGACAGATTTCCAAGCAATGATAACAATTTTGGCGGATTGTTTTATTCAATGTTTGTATGATGAATGAGTTTTAGCAAGTCCGCAATCATGTAAAATTTGTCGCTAGGGCGTTGTGTGTTAACGTCCCACGCGTCGTTCAGCAGCCATGCCACTGAGCCATGAACGAAGTCTAATTTTCAGCCTCTAGGGATTTGAAGAATTGAGGGTTTGTGAAGAGCACTAGATTGCAGAAGACTCTTCGCTCTTTCACTCTATGGGCATGGGTTGTATATGTGCTACTGTTTACTACCTGTTAGTGCAGTCCATCATACAAACACATTACCAACAGCATTTGGAAGTGTTTTGCAACGTATGCTGCGTCTATTTCGATTTTTCTTAAGCCGAGCATTCCGTAAAACAACTGTGATTCACTATGTTAAAGTTCAAGTAACATCCAGTTGCGTGTCAACTTACCTGTAAAGGGATTAGTTCGAGGGAAAGCTTTTTCCCAAGATCGACTTTCTCTTAACCTCGGCATTGGAATATGAATGTGTCGTTTTCTTGTTCAGCAATCGCGAGGTTTTTAAACAGCATACATTTACTTCCATAAAAACACAATACAATACAACGCTAGCTGACGTTTCGGCAGTATCGCCTTCTTCAGAGCCTGGAAGGGTATACTGATATACAATCTACTAGGCCAAACGCTTCAATAACACTTACAAGAAGACGAAGAACTCTCTGGCAATTACATAATCAACAACTTCTCGAAAAACCCACCGCTTTTTTTCGTGACTTCCAATGAGGAAGTTTAGAACAGCTGATTACAGTCGCATGTGGTTGACGACTGCACCATCCCACATCAAAAATCGATGCGAACGTACGAGATCAGGTCGCGTATGATCTCCGGGCATTCGTCCCTGCTATTCATTGTAGGGCTTTTGGCATTGATCCAAAAAGCCTCAAGGAGTTTTCGCGCTGGTGTTTTGGACTCCTGTGCAAGGATATTGACTTTCACTTCAAAATCGTCTCCGCTATGCTTTTGTATCCTATGCGTGCCTAGTGGGGTGCTTCGTCTTAGTTTTCGTTTGCCATCTAGGTGTTCTTTTATACGGATACACAAAGGTCTGCCCGTTTCGCCAATATATTCATCTCCGCAATTGTTACACGAGATCAGGTATATCGTACCTGAACTCATGCAATCACCGTCCCTGCCGTAAGGGCAAATTACGCAATTTGTTGTTTCACACAGACGGTCATACAGGCGGTTGCGAACTAATTGGCGACGTAGAGTAGTCGGTGGTATTTCAACTATCGCTACCGATTCCTCTAGATCTGCCCTTCTTAAGCATCGTTTTATAGCTGCGCTTACTTCATCGCTTATGAAAGGCAACATAAACGGGATTTTGTTTTGGCCAAGCGTTTCGCGTGGGCGCGTCGTTCTCCTTGTAAACTTATCTCGTGGGGTTACTATTTCGTAGCCATTGGAGGTGGCTATTTGCCGGGCCAAGTCGCGCGATTCTTCCTTTAGTTCCCTGGTAGTGCACACAGAGGTGGCTGTTCGAAACATGTTTCTCACAATCGCCCTCTTTGTGTGTGAAGGGTGGGAAGAAAGGAAATGAACAAGGATGTTCTTGTTACTTGGCTTTCTTTGTATTGGAAAGCTTTTTGTATATTTCTACGCGCGGAATCCAGCTTTTCAAGGCAGGTGTTCTCCACTACATCTTTGTTGAAAAATCTATGGGTTAATTACATGAAATATGGAATAAGAGTTCTGTGCGATAAAAGACCAACCAGAAAGTAAATGAGTGCTATAGAGTTCGTGCTGTCCACTCTGGACACCGCGTTTGATTGTATGGAATGTACACTTCCCGTTATGTGTAGGGAAAAACCATATGTTCCCACCAGCATCTTTTGGGGTAGATTTTACACATACGTTTTCATGTACGGTTTTTTCATCATAAACGTATTAATTGGCCAGCGGAATACATGTCTTCGAGTTGGTCTTCGGAACCGAATAATTACTAGCTCGAAGGAGAATGCTCGACTTTCTGCGAAGTTGCCAAGCAGGACTTTTCTTGTTTCCAGAGAGCGCAATATCAAGCTTGGGTTATAATTGTTTACAGCAATAGTAATAATACATTATTAACAATCTAACGATGTCTAGTTCGGCAAAGGGGCTGAGCGAAGTACGAGCGAATCATTTGAGCGGGGGAAACACTAGAACACTAACAGAATGACCAGTAATGCTCCCTATATTGCTTCTCTAATAGACGGAGTTTTGACAGACAGAACTAGAGATAATGCCTAGAGGGAGAATCTAAAAGTTTCTCAGCTAGTACAATCTGATAGAGCTGCTTGTACAGAAGATTCGTGAAGACTATACGATAGCTTATACAGAAAGCACACGTGAAAGCGTGCAGCTGCTTGTATGGGAAGCTCATCTGGAAGCAGTACAAAGGCTTATAAAAGAAGTTATGTAAAAGTTATGGAATCGTTTGTGCAAAGGCTTATACAGAGTGCTTATCTGAATGTGGTACAAAGAGTACAACGCAAGGATAAATGTGACCAGCAGTAAGCGTAGTTAACATGGGAGAGACACGATAATATATAGAATGGGAACTGTTTAGGCAACAGTCACTATAACGAAGTAATAGTACCATTCTTGCGCAGTGATTTATAGTAAAATGGGTAGACAGTAGAAGAATTAGGTGTTTTCTTAATTAAATGTTGTTTTCTAAAGTGTTCTGGCTCCCTATAGAGCTTACAAGTTGTCCCGTTTGTGGACTAACGTTGTCTCCTATTATGTTGCCGTTATTTGTGCTACCATTATACATTTATTTGTAAGTATTGACATAATCAATAAGAGAGCAAACAAAAACGTAGCCTGATGTGTTCTTCAGAGCACATTGTGGATCTTTTTAGTGAGTGCACCGTTTCATTCCCAGGTGACTACCTTCTTTAACTATCCGTTCAATCCTGACTCACCAACACAGCATGAAGATAAGGAAGTGAAGATTGTGGATCTGGATGCTCACGGAACCACCGTACTCGCACTGCAACCGCCTCTCAACTGTACTAGTGCAAGGATTGAGGTTGGTCCGAAATCAAATACGTTCTTCATGAATTCATCCTATGTGGTTTCTGCGTCTTTTTAAACTTGTAATCCTCGATATAGTAAAAATTGCCCCGTCTTCTTACTTACAGATTCTGTTTGTTTTGTTTCCACTTATGAACCAGATCAATCAGACTAGTCGACTTTCCAAGTTGATCATCTTAAGTTAAATAAGATTGAATTATTTCTTATTCCACTCGAGAAGGGTAATTCTGTTTTAAAGTGAAAGTTGTTCCAGTTGTAGCTGAACTAAAAGTAGCCGTTGTGAACAGTTCCTTTATGCCCGCTAATTTTTTGTAGCGGATTTATCCAATAATGTTTACCAAATCTATCATGCAACGATCATAATGCCTAAAGCTCTTTATCGTAGGCTCATTACGACCGTACTGGTAAAGACAATTTCACCGATGCCGTCATCTACAGCAGTTTGTACGTGGAGGCAGGCAAGTCTCCGTCGAACTCATTCCTTCAACTGATAGCCGACAACGAAGGCGCTGTCGATGTGGGCAAGACGCTCTCGTTCTCGGTTAAAGCCACTGAGCCGATAACAGTTCTTACTTACCAGGTATTACTTAGGTCCCTGTACGTCCAAATTTTTATTTATATAGTTATTAGACACCGGACGCATATACGTTCTCTTTGAAATGCTTTAATAGTTGAGCTTAACAGCTAAGCAGAAACTGAAAAAAACATGATTTTCTCAATAGGGTAGCTTGATGGTGTTTCCATGCCAATTATGCGGATCCCTGTGCACTCATTTGCAGATTTGGAAAGTATAATAATAAATAATAATAAAATAACTTATGCCGGGATAGGGACATCTGCATATCGTCATCACGTGAAATCTCTCGGCAATCGGTAGTGGATTTGCAGAATTGATACTGAACTTTTTCCTTGATAACGGCGAAAGCATAAGCTAAGCATAAACTGGTCATGAGCATTATTTTAGTGTTAACTTCTAGACAGAAATATGGAATTCTTATCTGTTTGAAGGCTTATGTCTAAAGACGAAATTCCTACTGCTCATCAAAGTTCAACATCCAGAAACACGGCACATCGGTGAGGTGATAAATCACTGAGAACCACGCGAGCATAAAACAGGGGAAGTTAATTAAGAACTTTTAGAAGACCAGTAATAGTTAACACCAGCTTTAGTATAAAACGAATAAAGCTTTCGCGGTGATCAATCGCTGAGGGATGTATTCGCCTTCAGTAAGCACCGTTTGGAGGCGATTGAATGGAAATTTGGCCTTTACAATGACTCGCAGTGGCCTATCGATGTATCGAGCCAGTGCTGCTCTCCTCCCAGGGAAGTCTGGTACTAATTTGCCGACCACGGACAGATAGAGGGCTTAGTGCGTCAGAGGCGCGGGTGCAGATCCAGGTGTGTTTTGCAGTGGGCCTCCGACCATTGCACCACATGTACCAGCTTTAGTATATTTTTTGGTAATCATACAAATAAAAGGAGAGGTAAACCCTAAATAGGGATGGTGAGGTCTGTCTGCAAGGTATTCGTAAAATATTGTTTTGTCCAACCAAAGATTTTCTGAATGTGGAAGTGTAAGAATTGAATGGTGAATGGTAAGAATTGAAATGTGCTACGACACGTCTATCTTTTGCATTGCTGTGTAAAATGGTTCAGCTAACATTTCAATAGAACAGAAAGATTTTGGCTTTTTTCCTAGTTCGCGCACGATTCGGATATTTTTAGGTGATGTCCCGTGGTGCTATAGTACTTTCAAAAGAGATTCCTGTGAATTCAGACCACACCACTATCTCTTTCACGGCAACTCACGATGTAAGAATGCTTTGGAAGTTCTAGTGCTAAGAAGAAATATAGTTTTGAAAAAAGTTTCCAAATACAGTTGATGTTCTCCATTGTGGAGGTGCTGTATATTTTATTAAGAACATGAAATGTTATCGTGAATTCAGATGGCACCTAAATCGAGGTTGGTTGTCTATGCTGTTCGGCCTAGTAATCATGAAATTCTCGTAGATGCCACCGACTTTAAGGTGGATGGATTGTTCCGTAACAATGTGAGTTTATTTTTCCATGTGAATTAACGACATTTCACGACATTTCCCCCGTTCATACGATTCAGTTTACACATCTCGCTTATTTGAGTGTTCCCGAATCGTTCGGCTTGTTGTACTAGTTAGAAGAACGTTCTCTAAAGTTCCCTTTCTATCAGAAACAGTCCAAAATATAGCTATCTTTCCAACAACAGGAAAGAAGTTTTAAGGCAATATGAAATGCTTTTTTTCTGTGAAATCAACCGTTGTTTTAAAGGACTGTGTTGCATCATGATATTTCGATATCTCAGAGCAATTTCGTTGGCCCTAACAAGCAGCTTAAATCTGAAAGCACTCTTCTAGTATAACTACTTTCCGTCTAGCCCGATGCGCTCTATTAAAACTGCTTTTCAATTTAGGTTACCCTTGGTGTGGACAAGACCTCCGTCGAACCGGGCGAATCAGTTTCTTTCAAGGTCACCGCTGATCCAGATTCCTTCGTTGCATTGCTTGTCGTTGATCAATCCGTGCTTTTGCTTAAATCAGGAAACGACATAACACCACAGATGGTTTGTTCTGATTTTTTTTATTAATTTCTTTATTTGCGTATTTATGGTTAAGTGGTGAACCTATCAGAATTGTTCGTGTAGGTCGAGGAAAAAATTTTGAATTAAAGATATTTTATCGTCTGTATAGCAGTAGTTGCCAGAAAAAATCCATAGAAGATTAGTGCAGCTGTTCAAGCATGATGTGACAGCCATGGATTAGCAGTAAACATTGTCGGCGAAACATATTCGTAACGCTGGAAGCCTACCAGTGAATCGAGTCAGTACTTTTATCCTTCCAGAGAAGTCTTGTACCAACTTTTCTGCTTAGGAAGGATGGAGGGATTGGTTTGACCCAGGGGCGTGATTGAGCCACTGACCACATGTGTACTACAGAGCCTTGCGAAAACTGCGCTACACGCGTGGCTATCATAAAGAATCTCTTATTAAAGTTTTCATTCGAGGCAGTTACATTGTAATACCTAACTCATTGCATGGTTCTATGTTGTTTGCTCGCTAAATCGACATTCAAAAAACCATGTTGACTTCATAAACTTTGTAACTATTTTATATCAGAACAGCCGTTCTTGTTTCTATCCATGCTTGGCTTTCACAAATACATTGCAAAATATTGTAGGTGGAGACTGACATTGAAGAATATGATACGACGGGATACGGTGACAATGGAGATTACCGCCTATGGGAAGGAGGAATCGCAAGACGAAGAAAAGCATGTCGATTTTTTTCTGTTTTATTAAAAGAATGCCCTCCGCCTTTTCAGCGACGCTGCCTGCGTGTGAATTTGCCAAAGAATGACTTCTTCAGAACGTTTGTCGTTCAAGTCAATAAGTGAAAAGAAATGCTCTCAGCTAGTTTTCTACCTAACACTGCCATCAGCGATCACCCGTCAGCGGGATTGATCTGGGGAGCACAAATCGGCATCAGACCCAGTTAAACTTAGTTCAGTTAAAAAGAAATCCTATTTTTTACAGCGATCAATTTGGAATCCGTGGTGGGGAATTGGTGGAAAGGACGCGGCAAGCACTTTTGAAGTACGTCTAATAAGTAGAATTGAGCGACACTAAATTTTTACTAAGAAGGTACTCTGCTTTTAGAATGCTGGACTAATTGTTCTCACTGATGCCTATTTGTATCGTCAACCCGAATCACCAAGTGCGTTGAATTTTCGTTATTCATAAAGCATTCGCTGTTCTTTGGTTCAAGAAGCTTCAATGAATGTGAAACGCTCAAGCTTTCATTAATGATTGTGCCACAGTTCTGCCACAGCTTTCAAAAGTCCGGAAAAAACTGGATGCAGAAGCAACTATCGTTTGTAGGTTTCTACGGAAACAAGCTGTTTTCCAAAATATTGATTAATTACGCGAAGTTTTGAACGACGTTAGAAAGATTTTTGGTAATTTTGGACCCAATCATTCGTGACCTGTGCGTTTCACGTTCGTTAACATGCAGAGTAATTCATAACATGAGCATCATCTGCTTGTTTCCTTTCATCGCTGACTAACGAATGTCTTTCTTTTCTGCAATGATGATGCAGCGAACGAACAACCACCAAATCCACGTGTAGATTGTTCATCGCCAATGTCATCACGGCTTTACCTGTAGAACATCCAAATGTATTGCTTTGCTCGGCTTATCGCACTTAACAGTTTTTTATTTGTTCGTTTACCTAAACTAACCGGAACACCCTTGTTCATCCCATGAATAGAATTGCTTTTCATGACGAGTTCCTCCGTTCGATCAATTTCACGTGGAGCCGCCAAGTTGTTCATAAGGAAAAAATTTACTTTTGACTTTTTTAAACGTTAGAGAAAATCGAGGCACATACTGCTCATACGCGCTCAGCTGGCCTTGCATGATCTCTTTTCAATGGTTCGAGAGATTAAAAATCTTCATAGTAAGCGTTAAGTTATTGACCGCTTCAGCTATTTTCTACGGTATTATGGACGAGACTTCGCTACCATATAGAAAGTCTCTACATGGTATGGCTATAGCTTGACGGTCTAGTAATGAACTACTCACTTTCGTTGATGCCTTTCTATCGTCATGTCACACTCAGCTTGCCCCCACAATGGGCGGAAATCGTTCAGCATGTGCACCACAAGGCTCGCGCTCTTCACTCTTGTCCCTTATTCTGTCGTCAGCCATAGCAACTCCTCTCTTTTCTCTCTTTTCTTTCGCGAGCTCATGTTAGGCTGTTTTCTTCCTAGTGTTCGCGCAGTTGGCTCAAATACCTCAAGCTGGCATCGCCATTGACCGACTCGCCGAAATCACCAAGCCGGCCGGTCTGATTGTCGTGCGCTCCAAGTTTCCGGAAGCATGGATCTGGGATATTACTGATGCCGAGTTTGTGACCTATCATATTTTGCTCCTGTTAAAGAATACCTTGAATTTAATAATGTATGGCTAAGACAAACATATGAAAAAAATTGCGAACTACTTCATAAACTTTTCAGGATTCGGAAGAATATCTTCGAATCCTATTGCGAAAACTATTATTAGTACAAGTTTCATAGAAGAATGTCACACCTACTCGTTTAAAATCTGAAGTCTTGCTAAAGCTGCTCTATGGTCAAAAATAGGAACTATGTGTTACACGGAAGGAAATGGAGAGGTTTAAGATGGAACTATTACTTCTAGTGGGCTGAAACTATTCCGTACTTAACGCATCTCAAAATTATTTTCCGTTCACTTTCGTTGTCAGATAACACCTATGACTTTCTTCATCCGTTATGTTAGTGACGTATCCTAGGTGCAAATGCTCACTATAAATGTGAAAAGTTTATTCATTCACTCAACTCGTGGACAATCGTAGATGTCTTCTGGCGATAATTTTTCTGCTTGCACTTCATGTAGCAATTCCGATGACCGTCTTCCCATTAACCTCGGCGTTGATTGATAATTCATTGTTTTTCTTCAATTAGCAAACAAGAGGTTGGCATTATTTGGCATTACAGAATTTCTTAGCACACGCTAGTTGACGTTTCATCGGTTTCATCTTCTTGGAAAGACTGAAATGGTCAAATTGCCATGCAACCTACTCAGCCAAAGACTTGCGCAACGTCAGCAGATAAGACTAAACACAGAACTTTGCATTAGCTTAATAAACAGCTTCTTTTAACCACCCACCGTTTAACTCTTTGCAAGTATTCCAATTAATTGGTGGAAAGCAGGCGCACAGAGTAATACATGGGCGAGGAATGTGCCCATGCCCAAATCAGGTCATAGAATAGGTAAATTTAAATTGAAACCAAACATTCCACTAAGTGCGCATAGTGTGTAAAAACATAACGGAGAAGATTTTGAACTAAAAGTCACTATTCTAGCACAGGAATCCGGAACATCAGTGCGTTAAACTCTCGAAGCGTTTTGGATTAATTCCAAAATTTCCAAATTGGCCAAGAGGAAGGTCTTGTGACCACGCGTGGCCTCAAACCAAACCTCAGGCTGATTCCATGGCCTCACCCAAGCACATTCCTCTCCCTTGCATTATACCGTACGCTTGCCCTCGAGTAATTAACTGGTATACTTACAAGGAATAAAATGGTGAGTATTTATGAGGAGCTGTTTATCACGCGAATGTAAATTTATGTGTCAAGTCTTATCTGCTGAGGTTGTGAAAGTGTTTGGCTGAGTAGGTCGCATGTAAGCTTGGCCTTTCTAGGCTTTGAAGAAGACGAAACTGCTGAAATGTTGGCTATTATGTGCTAATAAATTCTACAATACCAACCTTGTGTTTGCTCGCTGAAGAAAAATAAGTTATTTTTCTTTCTACACTCAAGAAACCCGTACACTTGTGTGTGGGCGTGGATCAGTTCTAGAACTATCACATATCTCGGACGAGTTTTCTCATCAGGTTTGCAAATAGCACAGAAATGACGGAATTAACCAACAAACAAGTGTAAAGCACCTGTACAGCTGGACAATGGGCGTCGTTATTTGACATGTCTGGTGCAGTATTTCAATACTCGTGATTGTAATGATGTAAATTGTTTACTTACACCTATTAATCAGCAGTTGTGGGGTTGTTTCTGGTGGTGATTGGCTTATTCGTATCCATAACTCCAGCTTAGGGTTCAACTTAATACGGCACCACTTACTAAATAGAAGTGAAGTGGGTTCGTAAATTGTCACCTCATTGACTTGTCGATAATGATGATCGTCACCATCATCATCATCACCGCCATCGTCATCTTCACCATCATTGTCATCATTGTTTTTCACCATCATCTTAATTATCATCTTCACCATTATCACCTTGGCTATCATCATGTCGTCTTCGAATAAATCATTGCAGTGCGCGTGTTTTTCACGCCTGTTATGGCGCCGGCGCCAGTGACATTCGCAGAAGCAGGCGTCGAGCCGCCACAGCCGACGATTCGTCGTCATTTCCCTGAAACGTGGCTGTGGTTTGATCATTTCAGCAAGTAAGGTCGTTTCTTTTTCGAGAGATATGCATGAAAGTGGCTTGATAAGAAGTCACTAGGCATCGATGGATTAATGTGGCTCGATGGCTCGACTGAGAATTTCTTAAGATCTGCGCAATCATAATAAGACGGCGTTGGTTTAGTGTGTAGTTCGACTCAAAATCTATTGCTTGATCAAGTGGATATGCTCTTCGTTGATTCACTTACCCTATCTGCTATTATCCTGTTATCATTCTGCAATCCATTATTGATCACCGTTAATCTGTCACATCATTGAGTGTTCAGGTGGTACTTAAGCAAAGATTTCTTGCAACTACACTACTGTTCCTTCAATGTAGACAAACTCTCTTGAGGAAAATTTTTTATCACAGTCGTCACAATGACTTCCACAGTTTTGAGTTTCTTAGTGATTAACTCGTTTCTCTCCCGTCCTATAAGATGAAAAGTTCTAGAGAAGAACTGCGTAAATATGATGGCACTTTTTGGAAGAGACTTGATTAACTAAACCAAAACGTTTAAAACAATAAGTCGCCCTACTTCTATGAATATTCCTCAGGACTCGAAACGTACCTGGCACCATAATCCATGTTAGGCCCGTGTATCGCAGTTGTTAAAGATGGCTATTAATGCGCTCTGGATCAGTCTCCGATTTGGTCTCAGGAAGCCTTCCATCTCCTCAGGGTGAGGAAATTGATACCAGAATTATTTGGGAGGAAAGCAAAATACATTGGTAGTCTACCGAAAGTCAATGTATAGGCCACATATACATTCAATCACTTCTGCGGTTCTTGATGAAATTAAGGCATTGGTGAATCCTGAGAACTTTATCCTTCATCGTTTTAAACAAAATGCAAAAATCGAAGCATAAGACTCGAAAAGAAGCCTTATGCGATATCAGTTATCGAATCATAGTCTCCTAATTAGAATCACAGGTAGATATTTCTACAATTATTCCTCGGAAACACCCTTAGAAATGTCATCACATGTCGTCATCTCTTCTTACACGTCTTTCCACTTAATTTTCTTCCAAGTAATATGTCTATGAGTGTTTGTGCTCATGTGTGGTTTCGCTTACGATTTCAAGATCTGCCACTTTTTGAGCTCACTATCATGTCGAGTACTGGTTGCTAAAGACGCCAAAGAGTCTTCACCAAAAGCAGTCGTTGTTGATCAGAAGGAGGTTTGCTATTTGAGACCAGCTAGGATTACTGGAACTGCAAAGACTTCTGTGGCAATGGCGATTCTCAAGATTTCTTGAGGTTTCAAAGGTACACCCAATTTAGTACCACTGATATTGGTAATGGTGCTAAATAACTAAATAAACCAATGAAATTTAGTCTAAAGCCGTTTGATCATTATTTGTTAATTTTTTTCTCAGTGGTGCTCTCGTGCTTCTACAGTTCCATTCAGACTTTAGCGCGAAAACGGAATGAAAAGAATGAAGTCTAATCATAGTTGCTTTCATTTTCCTGGAATTAGCTGGGTGCTTGTTATTCACTGTTCTCTATACGGTCATGCATGATCTCCATGCAATCTCATCTTCGATTCCACTGCTTGTTTATGAAACTCACCTATTAAAATTTGAGGCACTTCCCTTAGTGATGTCCTCATCGCCCGCATCTGACTCAATACGAACCCTCGAAGAGCAGCTTCTGCTTCAAGCGCGCCAACGATGAAGATCGAGTATTGCCCAAACTGCGAACATTGTTTCAGGAAACATGGTTTTAGCATGGAATCATGGTATAAGTGCACTCGAAATGAAGCTTCTGAGTAACTAACGAACTTTTTCTCACTTAACAACTATGATGAAGAATATTTATGTCTTAAACAACATCCGTTAGATTAGTACGTACCTGTTGACCAGCGAACTGACATTGATTATTTTATTACACCAATGATTTTCGTCCCAGTGCTATAAGCCGGAAGTTTAGTTTATGAAGGCTCTATAATGCGAAGCTGAACAAATAGAACTGGATAGTTCAATGGTTACAGAGACCAACTCGTGCTTGTAAAAACATGGGAAACAACATGAATGAGGAAGTAGACATGAGAAGGAAAACATCCAGGTCCGTTTTGAGCCTCTCAAAGAAGTCACTGGCCGACAAACAGACGTAAAAGTTTGCCTTCGCATTTTCGTCCCCAGAGTCTTTACAGCGCTATGCTATGTAGTATCTGGGCATCATTCATAGTGCACTTTAAAAATGTCTTCTGAAATACAGCTGACACCCACAAAGTCTTGCAGGAATGCACAGCTCAGCCGTTCCGAGCCTTAGTTGCTTCCGTTTCTGATTCCATAATTTTCGTTCGTTTGTTACCTCAATATAACATTGACCAACTATACCATATCAATAATGCCCGTCAGAAGTGATAAAAATTCTCACTCCATATACTGGTTAGTCTTCCAAAGTCGTTGTATAGGGAGAATACGCAGCCAGTCACTTCAGTGGTTAAAGTCTAATGCGTGGTGTATCATTGATCAACAAAGAACACTTTATCCATTATCTCTTATTGGCTATGAGTCGAATCCATGCATTTCGTTCTTTTCTAAAGGCAACAGTCATTCTTTACCGATGTAAAGACTCAGGTGGTTATTTTCTTCGCTGGGTATCCTCATGCATTCAGCGCTTTCCACAACTACAATTCTTCACGGAGTTAGTTATCCACAATAATGAGTGATAGGGTAGCAAGGAGAAATGTTAGGTTTGGCTCTCGAGTTGAATATAGGAATTGAATTTATCAGTCCGAGACAAAAATAGGTCGCTGTCAAAAGGACTTTAAATATGGATAAGATGAAAGATGGCTTTCTCTAAATGCTTTATGAGATTCTTGTGTTCTCTTCTATTTCTGACTGCTTAGTTCTGAGCTTCTTTTCACCCATCTAGTCTCCTTTATTTGTCACTTGTAGCCGCACTCTAGAATTAGATTAACTCTATTGTTTTCGCATTTAATGAAATATTAGCTGAAAACCAATTCGAGACCCACCGTCCGGTCTTAAAAATGGCAATGCCAATTAGTCTCGTGGCAAACGTGGACTCAAACCCGTCTCCTTCGGTTGGAATCCGTTCAAGGTTTTTGAAGAGTTGGTTTGTTTGCTCGTTGAACACTGATTACGTTAAATTCGGGCTTATAGGAATTATTGTTAACGGTCCGTTCGCTTCGATGTTCATATGAGAAAAATAGCCCATACCGTTACACTTAAGTGAGGTCTTATAGTCATCCCAAAACTTGTAGGCACCTTCTATTTTTCTGATACCTATTTTATGTATAGCTTTTTAAGACCTCAGTTTTTTGAACATTACAGATAACTTAGTGCGTGCTAAATATTTTTAATAAAAAAAAGAAAACACCTTTCTCTGTAATGTCTGAGACTTTGTTGTTTAATCAATCGAACGGAGTAGAGTGGAACAACACAGAAATAAATGTGCGAGGAAGATATTTTGTTTCAACCCGATTAGAGCCTTGGTTTAACCTTTTCCCTGTTTAGTTATGGAGGTGTTTAGCTGGGTAGATTGCAACCAACTTGGTTTTTCCAGGCTCTGAAGAAGGCGAAGTCCGCCGGAACGTCAGCATTGCTGTCAATAAAAAATAAAGTAACACCTCTGCTGGCTTAGCAAGAATTTAGTGAATTGTTTGATCATTGCTGAGGTTATTAGAAAGTCGATCTTTGGAATTACTGCCTAGAGTTCCATTTTTTATCCTTATTTGGATAACCCAGGTTGGCTTAAAGCACAGTCGTTCATATAGAAACATAGATTGAAATATGTGCCCAATAATGGTGCACATTGTTCTGAATGCTTCAAGTGTCGAAAAGAAAAGTCCTACACTGTTTCCAGACCATCGAAAAGGCTCAGCAGTGTTGGGTAATGGTAGCGGTTGTGCATAAATGCACTGGAGCACTATGGACTTGTTTATAAAGGCCATACGCGTTTGTAAGGAAATCAGTTCGTCACTCGTCACTCGTGTATCTGGGCGGTCTGATCGGTGTCATCAGAGAGCGGAGAGGGAAATTGTATTGTTTAAATTCCAACTTAATAGTTAATGTTTAACGTTTTGTTTTCTGCCTTCTATACTTTTCATGGCAGGTTACTAAGCGAAATACAACCACAACGTTGCTGAGATATTTGCAAAACTCTGGACCGCAGGTGTCTATGGTGGGGAACGAACGCGCCATTGTCCTTTCCGGGGAGTAACGCGTTCACCACCACACCATGCGGGTCCTTCGTTTCGCCTGTTTCCCAGCTATTTCTAGCTAAAAGATCCGGTATAAACTAGAACTAAACATCAACCAATAGCAACAGAAATTGGCAGCCATCCATAAATGGATGGGAATTTATTTATTTTTAGCACAGAAACCGTAGTGAAAGTTCTTGACCTTTAGGGAGAATTCTGGACTTTCCGGGTAAATAAGATGCCCGCTTAGCATACGGTCATTCTCTACTTCCTCCATCGCATTCTTATTCTCGTTCCTCACGTCCTTTGTCACCCATCTCAACAGTTATGTTTACTGACGATGACTTTTTTTTAACTTCAATGTTAGTCAACTTTTCATAAATGATTATAATGAGGTTTGAGATAAAGAGAACGTTGGAAAACCTCCGGTGCTTCTGGCGAAGAAACTAAGGAAAGCGAATCAGGGAGTGATCAAGTACATTCCAGTTCATCTAACGAACACCCAAATGTTCCTGGATCGCTTACGTAACGCGCGACCCAACAGCGCGTACGTGGTGGAGTCCTTAGACGTCACTGTCCTCTATACGAACGTGTCGAATGACTCCGCTATGCAAGCCATATTCGAACTCCTTACACAACACGAAAGAGAAATAAACATGTATGGCTTCAAGATAGAGCACCTGATGGCACTCTTAAAAGAATACTTGAGCTACTCAATCTTCAGATGGTCCGGAAAGTACTACGCTCAAATAAGAGGATTGGCAATGGGACAACGACTGGCTCCAAGCCTTG